TTTGAGCTACAAAAGTTTGTCATAATGTTTTTGTTTATACTTTAAATATTTTAAAGCAAAATTAATTGTGTGTAGTACCGCCTTCGTTAACAATTCCTTTATAGATTCGATTCACTATTGTATCATACGATGCTTATTTAATTTAGTTACTATAACTATTATTTATTTTTATTAATTTTTCAATTGTACTTTAGAAAGATCATTGAAATAAGAGCCATAGTTCAGAATAGCATTTGGGCTTATTAACTGATTTTAATTTGCAGACTTAGTACAAGAAGCAATTATATATGGATACTTCCTTTAGTAACTCGCATTACTAATTAATTCATTTAGTAAACAATGTGCCATCAAAACAGTTTAATGTGAGCTTCGATGCTGATTGCGGCGAATTGCGTTCTAAAGAAAACTCGGTATTATCGGTATTAATTGTAATAATTATTATAATTATTAAAGCAATATTTACAATAGATTTTTTCGGAGCACCATTGCAGCAAAAGTCGCGCGCCAATCGGTCAGTTGGTTAGTTTGCCAGTCGTGCGCCATCGCTGCACACAGTCACACACACATATGTTGGCCACCACACGCCCCCCTTAATTAGCGCATGTGGCGTGTTGCATGTTGCACGAGCGTGGCGCGTTGCATGATGCCGTCGTTGCTGTTGTCGTCGACGTCCTCCTCGCCTTGGTCGTCGGCCACGTTGCTGCGTGTAAATTGTATCAATAAATTTATTGATTTCAACTGTTGCTGCTGACTTGTTTAATATTTTGCCACGATTTATGTTGCAGGCATGCAAATTTTAGTATTTATTTGCTTTGTCGTTGCCCGTCTCTGAACATGCTCCAGAGCCTGAGCCTGAGTCTGAGCCCGAGGCTCAGCCTGAGTCCGAGCTCAAGCCTGAGCTTGCAAAGCGGCAGTTGAGCGGCGCTTTAATGAACATGTCGCGCTGGAAAGAGTCATCAAACACGCACAGAAATTTGTTGGCAGTTCCCATTTGATTTGTGTGCCTGCAATGGCCAAGACACATGCATGTTTTATTCAGATGCATGCGTATTTGTGTGCTTGTGTGTGTGTGAGTGTGTCTGTTTAATGACAGCAAATTAGGCAACCTTTCACTGAACGCACATAATTTCACCCACAACTTCCGGCATGCGAACCAAAACTGCTGCACCACTGCCATTTGCAGTCATAAAAGATGGCACGCACTTTCCTTTGGAGAGGCGATCGAGCACACAGAGGCGTTTGTTTTCAGTGAGAGTTGTTTTTGCTAATAATTAATAATTTTTCAATAAAAAAAGATGATAATATTCACTAGGAATACAGAAACATTACTCGTACTTGTATATTTGTACGGCATTCGTTGCTGTTAAATGTTCTTTTTAATTTATTATTGGAGCTTTAACACTCGTTCCTCAACACATATTGTGTTAATTGGCTTTGCATGTATTCGTATAATTGTATTTTATGAACACAAGCTTCTTTTTATGCATCTGTATTATTGGTCTATTGTTTTGCTGTATGCTTGTATTGGACATTTGTCTGCCCCTCTTTCATCGTTCACGATAACACAGGACAGATCATACTGGAAACAATATCTACTTATGAGCGTGCAAAGATGCTACAAAGATGCTCCGATCCAATGGATTAAAAGAATGCAAGTGGATACGTTTTTATGTAAATTAACAATGCGATCTGGAGTATACAGTATTTTTCACAACGTCATTGCCATTTCCGTAGACTAGTATGGCGCATGTTTCCTTCGCGGCCGGCAGATGAGTAGATTGAAACAATCCTGGAACAATTGGGGAAATTAAATTTGAGCAGAACTTTTCGACTTTTCACAACAGGGACAAACGACAATTATTTTTTTTATTAATTAAGAATTTAAAATTAATAAATGGCTCAGGGGAAATTTTTTTGTTCATATAACCTTTTTAAAAATGAATATTGAACTTTTTGAACTAATACTAATACATATTTATAACAATATTTAAAATCTACAAAACTGTTCATTAAGTAAGAAGTCACAAGCTTTGCTTAGGCATACAAGGCTTTGTGGCCATTAAAAGGTTTGATTTGAAATGGTGCTTTTATTTCTCTTATTGTATCTATACGTACATACGTATCTATCATTTAAGTATTTTCATTAACAAAAATATTCAGCTTAAACAAAATCGGTTGAAAATCATGGTTCATAATGTTAATTGTTTTCCTGAAGTAGAAAACATAATCATACCCCGGACGAAAATTCAAGCCAGTTGGTAGTAGTTGACTAACTCTTTATGAAACCTTATTTAACATTAATGGACCCGAAACAATTAGAATTCTTGGCAGTAGAAAGACTTCTTGCTAAGACATATTCGACACCAGTCATTGTTTTATGGAGTTGAAACCTTTGGTAATTGTGACACCGTAAATCAAACCAAATTAAAAGTAGTTTTTAAATTCATAGCCTGATATATCTTTGACTCAAAAAAGATAATCTATAACGACTGTAGGATTAATATTAAAATACAAATAATACAATAAGAAAGAGCCAAAAGAATTAATTAAGAATTAATAATAGTATGGCAATTTAAAATAATTGAAAAAGTAGCTTATGAAGTTAAATGTGAAAATATATTAAATATATAATTGAGGAATATTTAAATATTAAAAAATGTATACTAATTCTTTAAGTTCTATATTATACTGTGTCCCAAAGTAAAATTTGAAAATGCTGCAGCTGCCCTAAAGCTGTTTACTTATAACTTAAGTGGAAGCCCTTTTAGAATTACAATTCCGATAGATATGCAAAACGAAACTCTCACATTAAGTAGTTTGAAATGCGCCCCACATTTGGGTTAAAGGCGAATTTCTAAAACTGTCAACAAAATAACAAGAAGCGGCAACACCAACAACACCAACAACAGCAACGCTATGGTGTTTGGAGCATAGGCGGCCAATGGCACCTGCAATGCATGCAAAATCAGGCGAAACCACCAACGACAAAAGCAATAACAAAGTGAAAATTTATGCGCCCAACTACTGCCTGTTGTTGCCTCAGTCGTTGCTGTTGTCGCTGCCGCTGCCGCTGCCGCTGCTACTGCTGGTGTTGCTGTTGCTGTCGCTGTCGCTGCCTTTAACGCATAACTAATTAAATAAATAATCATTTTTCTACCTGGCCGACACTTTGAGCATTGTTGCACGCATTCGAATTATTGAAAAGTGAAATAAATTTCTAAAAGAAAGTGAAAAGCTTTAAGCATACAGAACGCGCACAGGCATAAAATGTGCAACCTAATGGCCAACATGCGCAACATTGTCGCCCAGAGCCAACTAAGCCAGCAACCCGCCATTGCCATCAAGCCATAGTTGGCCAATTCAACAGTTCAAGCAGTCGATCAGTCGAACAGTCAAATAGTCGAGGCAGAGTTGTTGCTCCGTTGACCAACAGCAGGCAAAGGCGTGCAACTCATTCACAAGTCTTTGATGCTAAACAAATATGACTAATTATGGAGGAACTGACGCACTAAACAGTGCCACATAATGCAGTTGTCGTCTTGATTTTGACATAGATGGCAGCTGCTAGCAACTGGTTGCCAACTTGCCAGTTTATTTTAGCTTTTGGCCACAACGGCAACACCCGCAATTTCGCCAATTCGTGGAAAACCGAATGTATGAATGAAATGTCTTTTACGCCGCCTATATCTCGTCATCGTAGTCGGAGGCCACATTTGTTGTTGTTGTTGTTGCTAGCCTCATCGATTTGCTGATGTGAATCTTAAAGTCGTTTTCACTCAAAAAGGCGAAGATTGGACAAAGTTGGTCCAATCCTTTAACTTGCTAGAAGTAACTATTACTTTTGTTAAAATAGTTTGCAATTATTAATTGTGAAATAATATTTACTGTATATTTTTTGAAACATTAATAGTGGATATATACAAGTACATATTATTTAGGAACGTTTGAAAATTGGTAAATAATTTAAATGAAATAAGTTCAATGATAACGAGAAAGAAAAAGAACCTTAATATTTCAAACTGAAAAGCATTTTAAAAAATTTATTGTCATTCTTACCACATTTTTTAAATGAATATAAAACACAAAATCTTTATTAAAATTAATTAAAATAATAATTAATAATTACACTTAATGATATCAGTAATAATAATTCACTTTATATTAAAAAAAACAATCATAGATATAACTTAAGTTTTCTTTTTGATAAACAGATTGATACAGATTTCGTACATGCAGTGATTTTGGAAGACAGATCTGATAAATCCAAGGATAAATTGTACATATTAAGATGACGAAATATAAATCCATTTATTTACCATATTTGCAATACTTATTTAATTAAGAATGCGTTGTCCGTTTATTTTAAATGATTTGCATTCAGTTTCAAGATTTTCTTTTCATTAAAGATGTTCTCCTTGCTGCTGAAAAGTTCGGCCTACTGATTTTCCCATTCCTCGAACGATTGCATTTTTTCTGGACATTGCGAATGACAGATCCGAATCATTCAAATCTTCCAGCCATACTCCCTGAGTTTCCCTCGAAGTCATTATTAATGTGTGTTGTTCTGGTCGTTTCTGGGCTAATTAACTGAATTAGATAGATATTAGCCATATCAAACGGTCTAATTGTTGACGGTTTTATTCTGGCCATTTTGATTTTATTGTTTGGCCATCTGGAAGCACTTGATGGTAGAAAAACTTCCTGACTGTTAGTATCTCTCTCTAATGAAATGGTCATCCATATTTCATCACCAGTCACCATCCGTTAAAATAAAGTTTCAATTTTATTCCGTTTGGCCAAAAATTCCCAGATCACAATTGGATCCAATTTGGTTTTTCGAGATTCTTTTCAAATACAAATAATATTTTAAGAAAATAAATGAATGAATTTACTTTTAGAAAGCTTTTAAGATGCACAATTTTATGTCAATATTCATATGATTTATAAATGTAATTGTAATAATTAAAAGAAAAACTACTATTATTGATATTTTCTCAAAGAATTGCTGCACGCCACCCGCGCCTGCTCCACACCAGGTGGTGGACGTTTAGATACACCGGGAACTAAAACAAGAATTTTCTCTCTGGCCAACAAACGCGAACTGCATGTCAACGAATTTCCTGATTTTACGAAAAAACGACAAGAAGTCAGCCCATTTCGTTGGGGAATCGCGCCCGTCAGTCTAATGGCCAACGACTTTGCCACAGCTTTAAGTGTGCTGCCGCCACAGAACCACAAGATCATGTCCTGTGTGGCGCCTCATCGTTCGCAGGCGCTGGCCTTTGCTAAAAAGTACGATGTACGGAATGTATATACAAACTATGAGGATTTGGCGCGCTGTACCGATGTAGGTAAGTAGGAATATAAATTAATTAATTAATTAGAGATAGAAATAAAGAATTTTAGTTAATAAGTCGAAAGTAAATGCGGAATTAAAAAATAACCAAATAAATAAATTACAGATAGAAATATAAATTCTTAATCAATAAAGTTGAAAGTAAATGCGGAATTGAAAACACAATTAATATGTAGGAAAGTAGCAAAAAATCTAAATAAATAAATTAGAGTTAGAAATAGAGATTTTTAATTAATAAGGGCGAAAGTAAATGCCGAATTGAAAACACAATTTTGATGTAGCTAAGTAGAATAACTAAATAAATAAATTAGACATAGAAATAATGATTTTTAATAAATAAAGTCGATAGCAAATGAAAACACAATTGAAAACACAATTTTGATGTAGCTAAGTAGAAAAAAAATAACTAAATAAATTAGAGATAGAAATAATGATTTTTAATTAATAAAGTTGAAAATAAATACGGAGTTGAAAACATAATTTTGATGTAGCTAAGCAGAAAATAACTAAATAAATAAATTAGAGATAGAAATAGAGATTTTAATTAAAGTCGAAAGTAAATGCGGAATTGAAAACACAATTTTGATGTAGCTAAGTAGAAAAAAAAATAAGTAAATAAATTAATTAGAGATAGAAATAGAGATTTGTAATTAATAAAGGCGAAAGTAAATGCTGTAGGCTTGCGGAATTGAAAATAGAATTTTGATTAGGCGAAAATGGCGTTGAGTAAATGCATTAATTCCACAGACGCCGTTTACATATCGCCACTTAATCCGCTGCATTGCGAATTGTGCAACCTGATGTTAAACCATGACAAGCACGTGCTGTGCGAAAAACCGCTCTGCATGGCCGAACACCAGGTTGAAAATTTGCTGCAGAAGGCGCGCGAACGAAATCTCTTCCTGATGGAGGGCATGTGGCCACGTTGTGTCCCCGCCTACCATTATCTGAGACGCCAAATAATGCGCAACTGTTTCGGCCGGGTGCACAGTGTGGACTGTACATTGGGGCTGGTTGTGCCGTCGAACAAGTTGGCGCTATATGGTGGCGTGACCAATGATTTTGCCGTTTATGGCATACAACTAGCGCTGTGGGTGTTTCGCGCGATACCCCTCAGAATAAAGACATCGGGCAGACTGAATGAGGAGGACATCGATGTGATGGCCAACATCGAGCTGACCTTCAGTGATGATCGTAAGGCACGCATTCTGGTCAGCGCTGAGAATAAGCTGAGTAACGAGGCCATTATAGTTGGCACCAAGGGCTCCATAAAGGTGAGTTGGCACCCAAATATAATTTCCCAAAACTGACTTAACTCGTACACAGTTGCGCAACTATTGGTGTCCCACGCGAATGCTCGACTCGAATAACACCGAGTATGAGTTTCCGCTACCTGAAACGCAAACGTCCACCCATTACCACAATCGCATTGGCATCTGTTATGAGGCGGAGGAGGTTCGAAATTGTGTGCTTAGTGAACGGATTGAAAGCGAGCTCTTTAGCCACAAAGAAAGTTTGCTTTTGGCCAACATTACTGATACCATACACGAACTGCTAGGCGTGGGCAGGGAGACGCCATTTGAAACTGAATTTGATGAAGAATTAGCCTTGGCCGAGAAGTCGGGCAGTTCCTTAACCGTTGCCACGAAAAGCAATTTGTCAATGGGACGGGCTCAAAAGGTAATCAACAGAGTTTTGGGCCTAAACTAAAAATAGAAAATAGTGGCGTTCAGCAGCAAGGTTTTCAAAATTGTCAGTAAGTGAGCTTGTTATGTGTGCATTTTAGAATACAATAGCTACTTAGAAAATGGATCTTATCATATGTATATGTAAGTGTTAGATAAATAAAGAAATAACTTCAAATAAATACAGGAAGACAATTATTTTAAGATGCAGCTGTTAAAAGAATTAATGCTTAAAACTAGGTCTAAAGACGATAAACAACTTTCAAGCTGATGCTTCTGAGCAATAGCAAAGCCTGATTCAAGAGTGTTCCTACACAAGTAATACCTCCCCAATATAAGTCGCATCTGGCCAATCACCAGTTCGATTGACAATTCACTGATTACCGAAACTGATACAAGAGAAATAAAATCCAAACGGCTCCACTTCGATGACGACCATAGGCAAAAACGGACAAGAATCGGACAATGGAACGTGAGAACTCTAAAGGAACCATTCAGGCTAGAACAATTTGAAGGAGAAATGGACCTGGCGACGGACCACCCTTCAGGATTTAATCCCATAACAACATCACATGGGACACAGCTAGACAGACGGCCAGAAATAGAGTCCGATGGAAAAGCGCTTGTAGAAGCCCTAGGCTCCCAAGTGGAGTAAAAAGGATTTAAAAAAAAAAAAAAAAATACCTCCCCAATACCTAATAAATAGCAAGCATTAATATTGAACTGATTTTTAAAATACATCACATCCTTAAGGCTTAACAGACTTTATGTCATTTTGAAATCAAATGGAAATCAGACAAATATTATACCTTCAGTCTTTTTTTAAAGCCGAACATATTTACTTTTGATGAGCCAATTAAACAATTAGGAATTGTAATGCAATGTTATGAAGCCAAATTCAGTTACAATAGATACATTAGTTTATTGAAATTAAAACTAAAATTCCAACAAATCTAAACATTGTCTTAATTATCATTGCATTAATATCACTTAGTAAACAAAATGTCAGATACATTTTCAGTAAAAGAAATTATTACAAGATAAATATATATCAGTATACTTTGATGAAAAATAAGGATAAGCCAATAGGAAATACAAAATAATATTTCAAAACAAAAACAATAACAGACAACCACACTTTTTCAAGGTTGGTTTACATTACAAATATGTACTTGCAATTTGTTCTGGGTATTCGGTGGAGTATTGGCGTTTTAATTGCCGCAATATTAGTGATACAACAATAAATTTCCAATTTTGCAAAAAGTCATCACAACAAATACTATCTGTAGCACAAATGTCACTCTTGAAGCCATCAAAACTGGTTTGGAATTTTTGTGTTGTTAAAAACAAAATTCTAAGCTCTACCATTATTCTCCCCGATTGCATTCAAAAGGCATAAAAAGTGACACTTAATATGCTATACAGTATACAAGTATAATATATTGTATATTATAGTATAAGTATACTATGTTAGTTTAAGCAGCATTCGAACTAGTCAGATAAAAATACTGAGTGTTCCATTATTATGCCCTTCACTTGAAAGTGACAGAAAGAATAATGGTAGTCCATAGTAGTCCTTATAGTACGTATAATATACTATATATATATGTATGTATGTATATGACGTTACGAAGCTGTCTATTTGAATCCCCACATCCCGCTCAGTTTAAAGCTATCATAAAACTTGGCATACAGGCTTCTTTTGGACGGAGAAAGCTAAAATAAAGTAATTATTAATTTAATTGTGCTTCAATTCTGGAGATACCCTACTTCGTCATCGGTTTAACAATATCCTCAACGCCCCCGTGCGTTCAAATAGGTGAACAAACACAGTAAAGGGTATACACATATCAAGCCTTCAATTTCTGCAAAAAGATTCAAATCTTGGCAGTTGCCTTTAAAATTCAGTGAAATGTTTTTATTTTCGAACTGAATCAAATTGTTTAAGCACAGACAAGCACCACGGCAGTGAACTAGTGATCTAGCTTGTACAACCACCAGCTTTGTTGAAAATCTTATGCTAGCACAGAAATGAACCACCTATTCATATTTTATCGTTTATTTCAAGTAGAAACTTAATTAGCAATTGTCTTTGTTTAACTTAACCTACTGTTTCTTGACCTTCTTCTTCTGAGGGCCTTTGGCCTTCGACTTGCCACAAAGCTTTCGGCCCACAAATTTGAACACAATTTTCAAGACTAAATAGACCACATAAAGGACGGCAGCGATCAGAGCATAGACATCCAAATTATTACTGGCCACAAAGCTCATGTGGACCAGCGGACTCTGTATATGGGGAGCACCATGATGACGCAACACATAGTCCGTCCAGTAGACCACTGATTGGCGCGCAGTCATGGGACGATCTCGATAGAGTTTGGAGAATCTCTGTAGCTTTTCGGCGTACGATGGATTACCCAAAATTTGTTTAATGGCTGCCTTCAATTCATCCTCCTCCAGCGTTAGCAAATCCACACGCAGGCCATAGCCTGATTCTACGAGCTTGTCTGCATTGCCGGGCTGATCGGCAAAGACGGGTAATGCCAACATGGGAACGCCATGATATTGTGCCTCGGCCACGCCTCCCTTGCCCGCGTGTGTGATGAAGAGCTTGATTTTCTTATGAGCCAGTATATCGTCCTGTGGCAGCCATTTCTTGTACATTATGTTGGATGCAGTGCCAGGCAAATGCTTTGGGTCTTCCCATTTCCAAATCACGTGTTGTTTTAAGCTGGACAATGCATTGAAGATCTTGGTTATGATCTCGGGCTGTATGTGCTCGCCTTTCAGATTAGAACCCAAGCTGAAAAGTATGGCGCCATGCTTGGCTTTGGCCAGAAATTCCTCAATATCCTGAAAGAGGTGTAAATGTTTTTGGTAAACAATAACAAACTTGGCTCATAAAGCGAACTTACCTGAGGAAGTGCATCGGGCTTTTCCTTGATTTGTATGCCGCCTATTTCCACTATGCCGGGCACATTGGGTCTAATGGGGCCCTCGCTAATCGCGTGGCTGTTACAAAACAGCAGCGATACGTTTTTCTTGGCCTCTGCATAGCTGGGTATGTTCTTGTCAGAGCCAAACAAACGTCTAAGCGACAGACAACAAAATTGTTTAGGTATTAGGAATTAGAATTGAGAATCTCAAGCAATGCTCACCTATAGAAACCATCAAAGCGATAATCCAAAACAGTAGAAAGCACTCGCATGGCATTCGTTGATAGCAGATTCATAAGACGCTGCGTGAAGTTCATGGGCTTGCCCGACTTTACAGCCACATTCATATTGGGCACCGAGGAGATCAAACGTGGGTTGCCCATAAAACCATCAACCATTTCCATGGGCGGACCCGACCAACTCATAATAATCGGGCAATTGAATTTGGCCCCCAAACCCACCTGATATGTGTTGAAGAAGTAGCCCACAATGACTACATCGAATTTATTGTCCTTGTTCTCGTAGAGCTGCGTAAAACGTTCATCCTCCAGCACTTCCACTTGTTTGTCAATCAGCAAAATCAACGACGAAAACATGGATCTGATTGTGCTCCAGAACGAGGGCTTTCGCTTGGCTATGCCGGACATGCCGGCATGTAACAATCGCTCTTCATCCTCACTCAAGGGTATGACGATATGCTTGATGCTCTTGTGCGTCACCTTCGGCTGCATCGAGGACACAACTGTGACATTGTGACCTTGCTCGGCCAGCGTCTTGACAACGGACATATGCACGATCAAGTGGGAGGGACTGTGGCTGGTGAAAACTCCCAATATATTTGCACTATCTGTCCCGGATAAGTGCACTGAGAGCGTTATCAGGGCCAACAGCAGTGGCAAAACGGATCCACTGGAGGCCGTCGTCGTCATTTCGTTTCTTTTGTTATTCCGTCGGCGTTGAAAATAACACTGTCGAGTTTGCGCTCCGCGCAAACTTATACTATACTTATAGTATAGTATAAGTTAACCGACCAGCTGTGAGGTAGTAACCGGGTCTGATAAGCCAGTGATAAGACTAATGGATGATTGGCTGGTTGATAAGGTTGTGCGTGCACCTTGTATGTTGGTTGTCTTGAAGAGGTAAAAAATCGGTTGTTCATACATAAGTAGTTGGAGTAGTCACTCGAATTTCAAGTATTTCAACATACGCTACATCAGAACGTAGAGCCACAAATGAAAACTGATGAAATAATCTGAGCCATAGATAGGTATCAAAACTATATTCTTTAATTAAATTTTAGCTGTTTTTTTTCTGAAGAAATCATTTTGCGAATGTCTTTTATCATCCTTTATTTAATACTAGCTAGAAGCTAGAGCTAGAAGCTCTTAAAGAGTATTTCTAAAGCTGATAGGCATATGCAAACTGATGAAATAATCTGAGCCATAGACAGCACTCAAAACTATAGTCTTTAATTAAATTTTAGCTGTTTTTTTTCTGAAACAAACATTTTGTTAATGTCTTTGATTATCCCTTATTTAATCCAACAGAGCTAGAAGCTTTTAAAGATTATATCTAAAGCTGCTACGCATAGCAAGTTTGTTTAAGAACCTGCCAAGAGTTTTGATATAAGAATCAGTATGAAATCAGAAAAGGTCTGTTCTATACAAAAAGTCTAGTTTCTTAATATCAACAATTTAGCACTTTAAATTAAACTTTAAGAATGTAGTGCCACAAATGCAATCTTATGAAATAATCTGAGTTATGGAAAAGTCTTCATTTTGTGACTAACTTCTATTATACTATATTTAATTTTTTGAGCCACCAGATAGATCTATCGTTTATAAATAAGTATTTAGCTCTTATCTTAAAAAAACTATCGCTAAAAAAGAAAAAAAACATGGAACGACCTTAGTGGAATCATTTTCAAGGTACTAAAAAGTCTTTCTGGTTTAAAAAGTAACTACAAACATATGGTGGTTCGTTATAAAATTTCTTGGTTCAATGATACTTCAGATCAACTGATCAAGTCACAATATTATACACCATAAATTTAGATATACCGTTCATAAGTATATTACTATAGTCGCCAAGAATATTTATTCAAATTGTAGCGTGTTGGGACAGAAGCGATGGAGCGATTATATTAATTTTATTAATGTCTAGCGTTTTATAATTTTTCGAAAGATTAGTTTACCTATAATCAAAGAAATCTAAAACTTGATAAAGAATTATATTACGGAGCACAAACTCAAGATTACAGCGTGTCTATACAGTCGATTGCGCTTCTTAGAAATGTTTTAAATTCAGTTTTGTTGACTGAAATACATATGTACTTAAGTTATTTGATAGGTTCTATTATGTTTTCTCATTCATTTACAAACTTAACTTTGCTGGTGTAATGCAATGCATTAATTGCACTTTTTTTTAACCGTCAATAGCTAAATAAAAAATAAATAAATAAATAGATTTTCGTTTGAAATTCGATTATTTCACAATTCAAGACCTGTACGCTATGCAAAAATTAAATATGCACAGATTTTCGTCACAAGCTAAAAAAAAACAAGAAAGGAATGCTAAAGTCGAGCAGGCTCAACTCTTAAATACCCTGTACCACCCCACAAAAAAGTAATTAAATTAATTAATTAATTAAATTTAATTAATTAACTAAATTAATTTAATTAATTAACTAAATTAAATATAAAATATTCCATGCATGCATACATACATTTACATTTACATCAGAATCGTGCCTTATGCGTGTTTGTGTACTTGTACATATGTATGTATGTGTGCATTGGGCCTGGTTATATGGCTATAACTTTCTTTCCGATCATTCTATCATAATGAGACTTGGTATACGGTTATATAATAACTAACCTAATGTGACTACCAAATTTTAGTTCAAAATTCCAAGAATTACGGAAGTTATAGAAAATCGTTAATAGGGGGGGAGTGGGGGGGTGGATCAGAAAAAATGAACAAACTCGTCCTTTCTCGGTCTCAGGAGAATCTGTATACCAAGTTTGGTTATTCTAGCTCTTATACTTTCGGAGATCCTTGCGTTCATACAGACAGACAGACGGACAGACGGACAGACAGACGGACAGACGGACAGACGGACATGGCTATATCGACTCGGCTTGTCATGCTGATCAAGAATATATATACTTTGTGGGGTCTACCAAGCCTCCTTCTGTGTGTTCCATGTGCACTCGCACAAAACTAATATACCCTTGTACCCTTTTGGGTACAGGGTATAAAAAACGTTTGAGGTTCGTTTATTTCACAATTAAAGAGATGTTTTCTATGCGAAAAATAAACTTATTTAAAGTATTTCACATTTCAATAACTAGATAAGAATTGGCTTTGAGTTTAACGAACTGACGTTACCCAATTATTATTATTATTATTATTTTTTTTAACTATAGAATGTCAACAAATGCTTTTAATTGGGGTCAATTACAGGCAAACACGTTTCGAGAATTGCGGCTTAAGTGTCAGGCGAATGAAGCTCTGAATTTACTTATTTAAATGCACATAACCACATAAGCAATTGCACTTTATACATAACAAATGTACTCATTTATACCTTGCCTATACACATACAACTAAACGTGGGCATATGTATGTACATTTATCTATGTAGATTTCTCACACACATGAACTTGAAACACGCGCTCGCAAATAACAAAAAGTAATGCTATTTGGAAAACAAAAACACCCGCGATAATCAGCATGCGAGACGCGCGCAATCGTTGAGAGAATGATTCAGAGTAATGCCGGGCCAGCTGGTTAAGGCAGGAAACTATATACCCGATGGCGAGTGATGAGGCAACAAGTGAGAGCGAATTGATTGCCTATAAATAGTCAGTGTCTGGCGCTGAGAGACAAACAGCGTAGAGCGTTTTGTTCGACTTACAAATGACAAACATAGTCGCTTGTTAAACAAATTATTTATTCAATGACACCTCTAGATCAAAGCATTCTAAATGTAATTACATACTTAAGCGTAAAACTAGGCAATCGTTCTATTGATTAAGAGACTGCAATAGGGTCTATCGCATCTGGCCAATCACCAGGACGGCTGACAACAACATGATTATGGAAACTTATACAAGAACAAACGAACCCAAAACGACTCCACTTCGATGTCGGTGTTAAGGATGGCGCTAGACTGGAGGAACACCTGCAAGGAAGCAGACGGGTCGGCAGACCTAAAAAAGACGACAGTCTGGTGGGGGACTACCCTTCAGGAATTACCCAGAAACAACACCACAAGGGATACAGTCAAGACAGACAGACGACTAGTAACAGAGAGTTAGATGGAAAAAATTTTCTTGTAGAAGTCGTAAAGTCCCAAGTGGAGTAAAACGGATTAAAAAAAAATAGGGTCTATGCTAGTTGGTTTTCAATTTTCCCTTTTCCCTTTGAACAGATATTGTTATTGGAAACTTGCCAGTCTTGAAGCGGCTGAGAAGGTACCTCTGATAAGATATTACAAGTCTCACATTTCTCACTACATAGCTCAGTACAAATAAAGCAGAGACTAAAACCAGCCACAGGGCTGCCTGTACATCCAGATTATAACGCTCCATCAGACTCATATACACCCAAGGACTTTGCAGATGGTACGCGCCCTTATACCTCAACACATAGTCCGTCCAATAAACCACCGACTGACGTGCTGTCATAGGCCTGTCCCGATACATTTTTGAAAAGCGTTGCACATTCTCACGATATGTGTCATTATCCAACACCTCGCGTATACCCGCTCGCAAGGATTCTTCGGTAATTTTTAGAAAATCCAATGTTACTCCCAGACCCGCTGCAGCCATAGCGTCTGCATTGCCAGGCTGGTCACACCAGATCGGCACACCCAGCATGGGAACACCGTGGAACTGGGACTCCGCAATGCTGCCCTTGCCAGCGTGTGTGATGAACAGCTTCATGTTGGGATGGGCCAGTAAGTCGTCCTGTGGCAACCACGGCCTGTAGAGTATGTTGGAAGAGTTGCCCGGTAAATTGTCCATTCGATCCCATTTCCAAATGATGCGCTGTGGCAAGGACGAGAACACTTTGAAAATGGTCGCCACAATGTCAGGCCTTATGAGGTATGAATGGATGTGTGTGCCCAAGCTAAAGAATATGGCACCCGCACTGGCATTATCAAGAAAGTCGGCTATATCAGTGGGCAATGGATCCGGCTGCTCCTTGATTTGAATGCCACCTATTTCAATGCTCGCGGGCACAATAGGACGTACAGGACCCTCACTATGCGAGTGATAGTTGTAGAAAACTAAAGAGATACGTTTGCGCATTTCCTGATAGCTCGGAAGTTTCGAATCGTTGCCAAAAGCAAGCCTGAAATTAGTGAGAAAGTAAAAGCAATAATTCAATAATAATAATAGTAATTTCCTTCAGCTAACAATTTACTTTAAGAATAGGCATATTATAATTATTTAACAATATTGAATTGATTTAAAAAATTATTATACTAATTCATTAAACAGCGATTACTAAGAGTAGTTTTTTTTTCACCCAGCAATAGCTTTATAAAACATCATCTTTTTATCCATGGCTTTAAAAGAATTAAACATTTTAAAGAACACGATTCGAACTCATACAGGTAGACAGACATTTTAACCCTCATAAGTACATAAGTTGAATTTATATAAATTTATATAATTTTAATTTGTAAATTTAATCTAATCATACTTCATCTTTACGTTTTATTGCTATTTTTTTTAGATCTTATAACGTCTCTCACTACTCTGTGCTGTAAATCGGGAAATAAAATTCCTCAACCAAGCCGGCTTTTTATGCTTTAGTTTTATTTAAGTTAGCCTCTCTGTTGTATTGATTTTCTCTTATTTTTTAATCGACTTCAAAAAAAGGAGGAGGTTATCTATTCGTCTGTGTTTTTACATCGACAGCTTAGTTTGTCGTTGAAATAAATAAATAAATAATAATTTGATTATTTGTTCTTACTTATAGTAACGCTCCATGTAGTGTTTCAATATGGGATTGCAAACTTTGAATATCAGCCACAACAGATAGTTCTTCACTCGTTGTCCAAAGCCCATTGTACGCTCACCAGCAGGTCGGACCATATTTAAATGCGGTACATAGGCCGGATCGTTTGTATTGCCCACAATATCGTCCATCATTTCAATGGGGACTCCCACCCAGTCCACAATCACAGGCACATTTAGCTTGGCAGCAATGCCCAATTGAAAGTCATTGAAGTAATATCCCAATATGACCAAATCAAAATGGGTGTCGGGAGTGTCGTAGATGGCCTTCAGCTTGGGATGCACTGCAAACTCGTAGTGGGTATCCACCAGTTTTTGGGAACTCTTCAGAACCTTGTATATGTGCGAGCTCATGGAAAACTCTTCAGCGACAAATTCCGCCAATACTTCGTTATATATTTTCAAAGTACTGGGATTCGGTGGGATCAGCACATTTGTGATATTCTCATGCGGCTCGATTTCGGGGCTTAGTGCCGTGACGACCGTAAGGTTGTGGCCCGCATCCGCCAGTGCCTTCACCACGGACATGTGCACAATCAAATGCGAGAAAGTGGGACTGCTGTAGAGCCCCAGAATATTTGCGGCGTCTATGCAAGGCTTTGCGAAAGCCTGTATAAGCACTAGATATAGAAATGGGTGCCGGCTGATCATTCTACGAGATGGCTACTAAGCGTTGGGTTGCACGCTTTTTAATTAACTGAAAAGTAGAGTTGAGTCGGACTTCATTTATATGTGCACTTACAAGTCGTCAGCGTCATCGTTAATGTTCAGGTCGCCTCACAATTGCTTAATGGAAACGAATTAATATCCGGAAGCACCCCTGAGAAAAAAAAGCGTGTCGGCAAACACATTTGTTTAAATGCATGTTCTTTAACTTGCTTACCCGCGCTGACTTGGCAGATTTCCGAAATGTTTGTTTTTTCAAGACATAAACAAGTGATTCCCTTTCTTATCGCAAGCTGCTTATTTGGACTTATCAGGCCTGTGACGTCGCTATTGGATTTTTTTTGTTTTTGTATAAGCAGCCATGCAGACAGCTTCTTGTTCCCACTTATCAGTCCGTTCAACTGTGTGTGTGTGTGATTTATGATTTTAAAAGCTACAACATGTAGATCATAGGGTTAGGCTCAGCTAGAACGTTGAACAGCTGCTAGCTATTTTTTCCGGATTCTGTAGCTGTTTGAAAAATGTGTCAATTTTTTACTACTTGTCCAATGCGATTTGCGCTTTGAAAGCCTTAAAGATATGTTTCCAGTAAACCAAGAAAATGCATACTAGAAGATTATATCAACTGTGTGTGACTTATGATTCCAAAAGCTACAACATATAGATCATAGGACTAGGTTAAGCTAGAAAATTTAACTGCGTTCTATTGTTTCCGGATAGTGTAGTGGTTTGAAAAATGTGTCAATTTTCTACTACTTGTCCAATGCGATTTGCGCTTTGAAAGCCTTAAAGATATGTTTCCAGTGAACCAAGAAAATGCATACTAGAAGATTTGATTAGAACCTGCTTATATGATCTCAAAAGCCAAAAAATGTAGATCATAGGGTTAAGCTGGAACATTGAACTGCTTTCTATTGTCTCCGAATTCTGTAATTCTTTAAAAAATGTATGATTTTTTTACATATGTTTCCAGTAAACGAATAAAAACCAATAAAGCCAAGATTCGATTAGAACCTGCTTATATCAACTGTGTGTGTAATTTACATTGAACTGCTTTCTATTGTTTCCGGATAGTATATTTGTTTGAAAAATGTGTTAATTTTGTAAACCAAGCCAAGTAAACCAAACTAGAAGATGTGCATAGAACCCTTTCTACAGTGTAATTCTTTGTTTGGGCAGATTAAGCTTAATCAGTGTTCCACTCATTTCTTTCTAATAGAACTATAATTATTTATTTATTTTTAATTCCAACCGAGAGCTTATTTTACAATCGAAAAAAAAAATACATAAAAAATAACTAGAGAACAGTGAGCTTTAATTTGTCTTACATTTTTTCGTTGGCTTCTTTAAAGTAACTCTTATAAATAATACTAATTTCTTAATGATCCACATTAAGCTGCAAAGAAGGACGATGATTAATGCCAACACATCCAAATTATTACGCTCAACAAAGCTCATACGCAGCCAAGGACTTTGTAGATGATAGGCACCTTTATGTCTTAAGACATACTCGGTCCAGTAAACAACCAATTGCCTGGCAGTCATGGGTCTATCACGATAGATTTTCGAATACTGCTTGACCGCTCTTTCGTATTTATTGTTCTCCAACAGCTCCTTTAAAGTATTTTGTAGCTCTATTGCGTTTAACTCCTGCAAATGCAAGGATAGACCGAAGCCGGACCTCACCATATTGGCAGCATTGCCGGGTTGATCGCCGAAAATGGGAAAAGCCAGCATAGGGACTCCATGATATTGAGCCTCCGCAATGCCGCCCTTGCCCGCATGTGTGATGAACAACTTCAGCTTGGGATGTGCCAAGATATCGCTTTGCGGCAGCCATTTCTTATAGAGTATATTGGACGCATTGCCGGGTGTACTATCTAGGTTCTCCCACTTCCAAATGACGCGCTGCTTGAGCTGGGAGAAGGCTTCGTAAAGCGTGCGCACTGTTTTGGGTGTCATAAAGCTGTTTTTGAAATTGGTTCCCAAACTAAACAGAATGACTCCGTTTTCAGCTGTGTTCAGAAAATTTGCCAAGTCCTGAAAACACAAAACTCTTTAGAGCAAGTTCCAGTTTAAAAACAAAGATCACTTTACCAGTGGCAGCTCGCCTGGCTGCTCCTTGATCTGCAGTCCACCCACTTCTATATAGGCTGGCACTAGCGGCCGTATAGGTCCTTCACTGGGGGAGTGGTAGTTGGAAAAAAACAAGCTAATCCGTCTCTTAGCACACGAAAAACATGGAAAGTCTGTTTCATTTCTAAAGATGCGGCTGAGGAGAACAACAAGAAATTATTTATTTTTATAGATAAAAATTTTCAAATAATTTTCTTACTTGTATTGTTGCTTCATTTTGGCTTCCACAATGCGTTCCAAAAAAGAATTGTACCAATGTTTCAGAAATGTATGCAAACGCTTAGAAAAACCCATTACCTCGCCAGGTTGTATGGGATCGTATGAGGATGGTACATAACTTATTTCGCTGGGATTGCCACTCAGACTATCTATTTGAGCGATCGGTCCACCCACCCAGTTCATAATAACGGGGCAATTGAATTTAGCAGCCACGCCCAACTGCGCCAGATTTAAGTAATAGCCGAGAAACATAAGGTCGAACTTATTATGTGGATTTTCATACAAATCTCTGAAACGGGCATCATTCAAAATGTCCTCCTGTATGCGAGCAAGCAGTGCGACCACCCCGTATATACGAAAGAAACTAATTGGATAGTATTTCTGCTTCGACAGCTGATCCATTGCCGCTCGTAGTTCATCCTTATACGCGTCCTTCATAGGGACGAGCAGATGCTGAATACCATGCGGTACAGGTGTGGGTGGTGGCACCATTGTCAAGATCGTCACATTGTGTCCACGTTCTGCCAAAGTCCTCATCATTTCCACATGTATGATCAGATGCGAAGGACTGGTCGCAGTGAAAAGTCCCAATATATTGGCTGACTGTGCAGCAAGCGGCAAGAGCAGGAATAGAAGAAACAAAAGACTGCACATCTTTTCACAAACGAGGCAAAATCTCAACTGATGCATTTTAAAATATGCAGTTCTGCAACTCGCCTACCCACCAAAATACAAATAATTGGAAACAAACAAATGGCGTATCATCACATTATCTCTGCAGTCTTTATTGTAGATTCAGAACCTATATAGTTACATGCCCGTTCTTATCTCACAGCAGTGTTGACAAAGTCAATGGCTGAGCTGGTAAACAAATACATATTTTAGTAAGCACTGATAAAATGTCAGTCATTAGTTCTTCTTCAGCTTTCTTGGACTGCCACGAATTTTGGCAGAGATCCAGCTAAATAATCTCTTCAGCAACCAGAACAGACCCAAAAACACGATGCTTAGCAGTGCATAGACATCCAAATTGTTGCTTTCTATAAAGCTCATATGTAATACGGGAGTCTGCAAGTGTCTGGCGCCCTTGTGTCTGAGCACATATTCTGTCCAGTAGACAACGGACTGACGGGCCGTCAGGGGTCTGTCGCGATAACGTTGCGAATATGTCTTTGCTGCATTGGCATACTTGGGATTTTGTAGCAATTCCTTTAAAGCAGATCGAAACACTTCATCGCTAGTCTCCAGCAAGCGCAGACCCAATCCAAAACCAGCTTTAACCATACCCTCAGCATTTCCAAACTGATCGCCGTAGAAGGGAAAGGCGAGCATGGGCACACCATGATACTGACCCTCCGCAATGCCGCCCTTGCCCGCATGTGTGATGAAGAGTTTCAGGTTCGGGTGTGCCAGAATATCGTCCTGAGGCAACCAATTTTTGTACAGTATATTCGAGGCATTGCCCGGTGTATTAGCTAGATCGTCCCATTTCCAGATGACACGTTCCTTCAACCCCGCAAAGCCCTCGTAGAGCATTCGCACGGACTGCGGCTTCATGTGGCTGCCCTTGACATTGCTGCCCAAGCTCAGCAGAACAACACCTTCCTTGGCGGTATCCAGAAAGGTTTGAATATCCTGAAAAATAGATAATTGAGTAGAGAGAAGGAATAGGAATATGTTAATAATATGTTAATAAGTTAATAAGTTCCACTAAGTAATTTAAAAGTTTTAAATGTGATGTAAGAGTCATAATAAATAAGTATATATAGGAAGAACTTAAGAAGAAATTAATCGTAAAATAAATTTTAACAAGATTTAATCAAATAAACAATATTTGTGCCTTATGGAAGAAAGTGATAATAAATAAATGAAGAATGTTAAAAATAAGTATATTCATTGCATAAGTATTGCTGTAAATAAATTCTGCAATATTCAATAAATTCAATAAACAATTGTAAAATAAATTAGAATAAGATTTGATCAAATATTGTTAGTCCCTTATGGAAAAAAGTGATAATAAATATGTATATTCATTGCATAAGTATTGCTGTAAATAAATTCTGCAATATTCAATAAATTCAGTAAACAATTGTAAAATAAATTAGAATAAGATTTGATCAAATATTGTTAGTCCCTTATGGAAAAAAGTGATAATAAATAAGTATATTCATTGCATAAGTATTGCTGTAAATAAATTCTTTGAAAAGCCGGCCACGAATAATATTCCTTCAACGAGTCGCATTCGTTAGATAGTTTTATAAAATCTATAGGCTTTTTTATTTTTTATTTAGTAGTATAAGTTCTCCATTCTTTTGATTTTTAAAAATTAGAAAAAATTAAAGAAATATAGATATTATTCTTTAAAAAAAGTATTAAAAAGCATAGTCTGCAAGACTTATTTTCCTTTGATTACTTATCAATCATAATTGAAAATATGCTTAATATTTGAAAATTAAAATCACATTTAGTGCCTACAGCTGTTATTTAATCTGAGATTAAGGCTTTTATACTATCGAAACGCTTTCTTTACCCACCTGAGGTAGTTTACTGGGCTCTTCCTTAGCCTGCAATCCGCCAACTTCTATAAAGTTTGGTAGGAGTGGACGTATGGGCCCCTCAGTTAGTGTATGATAATTGGAAAAGAATAAGCTAATGCTAATCTTAGCTTCTGCGTAGCTGGGGAAGTTCTTCTCCTGTCCAAAAAAGTGCCTATAAATAAAGTTAGAGTAAGTTTTAAGGACCCAATTAATTGCTTTCTTTCTCACTCACTCGTAATGATGTTGCATTTTCATGTCGAAAGTCCAGTTTAGGAAACGCAAACACCAATGCAATAGAAATACATGCAGGCGCTCCTTAAAGCTCAAGGACTGTCCCGCCTGTGCAGACATCGTGATGGGTGTGACGTAACTCAGTTCCGGTGGATTTCCCGTCAGCTGATCTGTCTGATCAAGAGGTGCGCCCACCCAGTTCATAATTACAGGGCACTTGAATTTGGCCGCCACACCCAGCTCGAACAGATTCATGAAATAGCCATGAAAGACGATGTCGAACTGTTCTTCATACAGGCCTGTAAAACGCTTATCCGCGAGAAATTCCGTCTGCAGATTAATCATTGTCTCAATTCCTTTATACCACACGAAATCGTAGTAAATCAGTCGCTTTTCCGACATTTTTCCAATAAGGCTTTTGAATTTCTCTTCACCTTGCGCAGATATCGGTATAAATATATGGCGTATACCTTCTGGTACTGGATGTGGCGGCATACGGACTGTCACAATAGTTACATTATGTCCCTGCTCCATCAATGTCTTCATCATCTCCACATGTATGATGAGATGTGAGGGACTCAACGAGGTGAAGAGTCCCAAAATATTTGCCGGCTGCACCGCCAACGGCAGCAGGAGCAATACAGCTAATCCATAAGTACGAGGCCCCATCTTGCATGGAGAGCGTTCGAAAAACTACTGAATAATTTACTGAGCTCCAGCACCTTTGGGGTCCGAATAATCTACCCATACTAGGTTGTGATCGAGCCAGTGGAGACTTTTGTCAGTGTGTGCGTGCGTGTGTTATTAAACACGCCACAAATTAACAAAAAAAGATTGTAAAATAAGTGTTATCTCTACAACAAAAAGCTTTAATTAATTAGGCGGGCACAGTCAGCTTGCATTGTACTCTATAGGCAGAAAATATTTATATACAAAATGTTATTTATAATTTACACTTTCGATCTAACTGATATTAAGATTAAAGATTATTAAAAAACGATGCATATTAAATGGTATATATATTATTATTATTATTAACGAGTATATAGAATGTATATATAAAATATATAAATTTTATTATATAATAAACACTTTTAAAATTTTTTTTGTAAGGTTTAAGTTGTTTTCTGAAGAAACAACTCTACTAATTGAAACTAACTGATTTTTAGATTAAAAACTATTATTAAACGATTTATACATGAAATATAAATGTTATACGAGTATATAGTATGTATATATAATATATATAAATTTAATTATATATTAAACATTTTGTTGTGCTAATGTGAGCTCAAGTGTATGAAGGTTTTAATTTAAGTCGAAAAATTGCCGGCCATGCAATATATACAGAAACTTATATATATATTTAAATGGTGCGTTTCATAGGCATTAAAACATTTAATGTGCCCATACTTTCGTTTAATATAGAGTGTGGAAGTTCAATACATTGACCCAAAAACTGTTTGAAATCATGATGCTTGAGTTAACAGATTAGAAAGCACTCATTCAGATACGTAAAACAACTATCCGGGTCTCCAGTTACGTAATCACAGATGTGATAAAAATTGATACACAGATACGAGTATATAATTAAAATATATAACAATACTAGTTATTATTAATAGATAATACTAGAGTAATGTCATATAATTTTTGATTTACTTCTTTCTATTTAGTATCATTTAAGTTGTGATATCTGGATATATCCACTTACCCTAGTAATAATAGTGTTCATTAAATGTGCAGATAAGAAACGAATAGTAAAATTAATTTACTAAAAACTAAAATATTTACATTTTAGGTGAATTTTTAAATCGCATCAATTTCTAAACAAGTGGAATTTTGTTACCTTTTGAAGTCTAATCAGCCCATTATAATATTATCCAGGGTATCTAATTTAGCAACTAGAGGACCAAGTTTAGCGAGGACCGTGTCTAGTAACAAACCCGATGGTCTATTAACTAAAGATAACGTGCTTCACAACCACTTTGACTGTCCTGCCTAGTTTGAAATATAAGTTTTAAATAAGACCCTAAAGTTATCCCCGGATATGAGCCACCAATCAATAGCCCTGTTTTGAAATACCAAAATCCTCTCTGCATCTACACTGGTGCTTAAAAATTGCCCCTCCAAAACAGAAAAATACTTAAGAGAGAGTCGAGAGCAGACTAACCAAACGTTATGAACCTAATTAGTATTCAAGTTAGCTCGATTGGAGCTTAAATATTGACGCTGCAATTGGTTTTGTTGCTGTGCATCGATAAAAATATTTCTTGATTAATATGCAGTTTTAATTACAGCTACTTGTAGAATGAATAACAACCATTTAATGTTTAAAGTTCAGACTGAAAATGTGTTAGGCTACTCATAAACTTAATATTAATCTTTCATCATTGATATTAAAAATTGCTCGTAAAATGAATTGATCAATTAAACCATTTCAATGGGCTATTCTAATGTCGTTCTATAATAATTATGCATCACAACTGTGGTTTTCATTTCATAATTATTTCAATATTTCTACCTTAAAGTAGCGGCTTTTATAGATATACATATATAATAATTAACAAATACACTTGAAATCTTAAATATTTGTTTTTTACTTCTAAATGAAATTATGGGTTACTGCTGCTTGGCTTTCGATTTTTTACACTTACTGCTTAATTTACGGCAAATGAGTTTCAGAACTAGACGAGTCAACAGCACACCCACAACTAGCACGGAAATAATGAGGGCATACACATCTAAATTATAATACGCTATCCAGCACATGTGTACGGCGGGACTTTGTATGTTGGGCGCTCCCTTATGTCGGATCACATACTCTGCCCAGAAAACCACTGACTGCTTAGCAGTAAGCGGACGATCCCGATAAAGATCCGAGAACTTTTTGATTTCGTTCGCATATCTGTCGTTTTCCAATACCTCTGATAAGGTGCTCCTGAACTTATCCTCTGTGAGTTGCAGCAACTCCAGCTTAAGGCCATATCCCGATTTTTGCATGGCTTCAGAGTTGGTGTGTTGATCCCCAAAAATTGGTAGCGCTACCATGGGTACTCCATGGTATTGGGCCTCCGTAATGCCGCCCTTGCCGGCGTGTGTAATGAAGAGCTTGAGCTTAGAATGTGCCAGTATATCGTCCTGTGGCAACCATTTTTCATACAGTATATTTGAGGAAGTGCCAGGCGTATTCTCCAAATCTTCCCATTTCCAGATGACATGTTGCTTTAGTTTTGACAATACATTGAACATCGTTTTCACAATTTCAGGTTTCACTGTCGAGCTCTTAATGTTCGATCCGAGTGATAATAAAATGGCACCATGCTTTGATTTTGCCAAAAAGTCCTGTATTCTCTTCGGCAATGGATCTGGCTTGTCCTTGACTTGAATGCCACCAATCTCCACGGTGGCGGGCACAAAAGGTCGTATCGGACCCTCACTAATCGAATGACTATTTGTAAATACTAGCGAAATGTTGCGTCGCATTTGTTCGATGCTGGGAAAGTTCGGTTCATTGCCAAAAATTTGTCTAGTTAAATAATATGTAAAATACTTGTAGTTTTAGCTCTCAATTCAAAAGTTATATCAATCTAGGCACTTACTTGTACATAATATTCGAGCGCTTATTGAAAAGTGACTTTATGTATATGCCAAAAATCTGCTTTATAAGATTTTCTAAGCGCTTGGAAAATCCCATCCCTTCTCCAGGCTTTACCACCGTGTTCATGTTGGGCACATAACTGATCTCATATGGATTGCCAACGAGCGCATCAATTGTGGCCATTGGGGCTTGCATCCAATTAATAATGACAGGACACTTCAGTTTTGCAGCCACGCCCAATTGGAATTCATTAAGGAAGAAGCCCTGAATCATTAAATCAAATTTAGTGTCGTAGATGCGTTGCAAACGCTCGTCGAACATCAAATCGTATTGGGCCTCAATCACCACGTTCTTATCACTCAATAGTTTTTTCACTATCGAGAAAATAGAGTTCTTCTGCTTGGCCATACCAGACATCATGTCCTCGAGATTGCGCTCCTGTTCTTCAGTGGGTGGCACATATATGTGATGTATATTCTTATGCGTTATTGTGGGCTTTAGCATGGACACGACTGTGACATTGTGGCCTACTTCTGCCAACGCCTTCACCACCGACATGTGCATTATCAAATGCGATGGACTGACACTGCTAAAGAGTCCCAAAATATTGGCCCCTTGTGTGGGTGGCGCGACTAAGGCGCATATTAGGAGCAGCAGTATGCTGGCATTCGGCATTTTGTGACTGTAATGTGGAGCCTATGAACTGAAACTATATGTTATCCGGCATACCCGTCGCTTTTTATAACAAGCAAATCAATGCACTCACCTTATCATACACATATCTTATCACCTGGCTCAATAGTAGCTCCACAAGCTGATTAGAAATTTGGCCAACGGCATATTGTAACATGAAATTCACTAATTTTGTTTTGAAATAACCACAAGAATTTGACTATATAAAGACAAATTAGTAATAAAAACTTGATTACGCTCATATCAACAACCGTTTGAAATTGGCAGCTTCAAGACTAGCTGTGATTTGGATCTCTGTATTGGATTGGTGCAAGATTTCTGAGAGAACATATGGGGAGATTTTCTGGAGTATAAATAACCACTGAACTAGGTGGTCACTTTTGAAGAACTATTCCAGACTAACTGATGTTTTATTTTCTTGTCCAATCGCCACTTCTGTTATAAAGAATGACATGAATGTCTACGCAGAATAACATGGGGAGTGCAAGATCCTAATACAATACCCCAGAATAAAGAGATTTTAGACAGTCAAGTGTATCAAATTATATTCTATAACTTTTAAATTTCCAACTTCGGCAGAGCTCTTTCAGTGAAGATTCCTAGTATGTAGGATCTTTCTTAATTTATCAGTTATAGATTATTAACAACTAAAATTTCAACAACAAAAAAACCGACTTCAAAGCTGCATTCACTGCAGCTTTTTTTTGTCATTTTAAAGTGACTTAATGTTTCGAGGATGATTTTGAATGCTGTTGAGGAATAAAATTATCATCTGTTAGGACTAAATGAAGTTTGTTAAAGGTAGTTTTCTCATAGATTCCATTGTTAGAACTGGTCCAAATTGAAATGGGAGCAGCTTTCAATTGGAAACAGAATCACCAAAATCGATTCACCCAGTCGAAGGTTCTGAGGTACTAAATTTAAAAAAAAAAAAAAAAAAAACAGACGTCCTCCTTTTTTGAAGTCGGTTAAAAATAATACCTTAGGCAGTTTATTCATTTCTTCAAACTAATTTGCTTTTATACTAGTACAATTTAATATGTACTGTCGAATTAAATGAAGATGACGAATTTATAAATAAATAACATTTATCTTTTGTTCTGTAGGCCAGTTTTCTCAAGCATGCTTATCTTTCTTTAAAACTTTAGGTTCTATAGCATCAAAACAGGCCTCTGTATCTGCAATTGTTCAAATGAGACAACTAACCCATAACTAATCGCACACGATAAGTTTGCTGACATTTTACTAGAAACATTTATACGTTTTTATTTATATTATAATCACCATTGCATTCACCGCTTATCTAACTCTAATGAACTAAATACTAACACAGTTATAGCTTTGTTGCCTATACTCGTACTACGCCAATTTTTTGCTCCCCGGTGGCACAGGATTGACTTCGGTACGCAACAACTGTTGAGTCTGACCCTTAATGTGACCCCAGTGGTTGATTTCACGCAGCTCACCATTAAATTCTTTCAATGTTTGCTGCAGCTCCGGGTACAGGAGTTTCAGAACGCCATGATCCAATGTGGGAAACAAATGATGCAATGCATGTTCTCCAAAATGTGTGAGCACCAGCAGGTCGGACCATTTCACATCGCCACGATCAATAATAGTATCTATTTGAAAGAGGCCCCAATCGTGATCGGGTCTTACAGCATCGCCGTCATGATAAATGCGCGGATCATGATGCGCAGCGGTCAGTCCAATAAATCCAAAAAGAAAACTGCCCGATGTTAGAATTGTGAGCCACTTGACCAGGGCATCGCCTAAGCTCAAGTCCGTAGTGAGGTAAAGGAAAGCCGGCAATGAAAATCCAATAACATCGTGCCAGAACATAATATTCGATTTGGTCAGTGAATAAACAATGCTGTAATGAACAAATGAATAACTGATGAATTAAACTAAGTAGTATATAAATAAGAATGGGGTTTCAGAGAGAGAGAGAGAGAGAGAGAGAGAGAGAGAGAGAGAGAGTGAGAGTGAGAGAGAGTGTGAGAGAGATTTGGTCAGTGAATAAACAATAAAGCAATTAATAACTGATAAGTTTCACTGAGTAGTATATAAAGAAGAATAAGTTTTCAGAGAGAAAGAGAGAGAGAGAGAGAGTGAGAAAGAGATTTGGTCAGTGAATAAACAATAAAGCAATTAATATCTGATAAGTTGAACTAAATAGTATAGAAAGAAGAATAAGTTTTCAGAGACAGAGAGAGGGGGAGACAGAGAACAGTTAATTAAATCAATCTGCGACTTAAGCAAAAAAAATATTTAACTAGAAGGTGGAAGTTTGTGAAACAAACAAAAGTTTCAAGCTTAAATTGGTGACCCCGATGTTAGCCAAACTTGATAATTTTTTTACAAATGTTTGTAACTTGTCAGCCAATTTGAATTTCATATATCAACTAAATAATTGATTAAGCATCGCATTATTTATAATTATTAATTGCAAATTTGAGTTAATTTTCTTCCATCACTTACCGTTCTATCAGCTGCACATAGCCAAGTAGACAGTAGACCACAGGTGATATAAATACCGAAATAATTCGCTGCAATTTGGTGGCATAATGGCGACTTGGCACCCAGCATAAAAATGGCTCAAAGAGTGACATTTCCAGATCATGCAGAGAGTTGGGGTAGACATGATGTGATAAAGCATGTGAAATTCGCCAAGTTGTGTAGTTCATCAGGGTAAAATTGAATGTGTACATGCGCCAGTTATCGCGCTGATGAAAGAAATTATGGGCGGAGGTACCCAGCCAGCAAAGCGACAATGCAGCCAGTCCTTTAAATAGCAGATAATCTGTGCGTCCGTCCAGCCAAGTAAAGAGGAATAATGCTGCCAATATGCCACTATGTAGCAGCTGCAAAGAAAGTCCAGATATTGAAAAGTTTTCCCTATCACATACACTGCCCACTCACGTCAGTCTTACGCGTCGGCTTGTAGTTCAATGCCTTGAGCTTATCACGAACTCTCCGCTTCAGAGTCATGTAGAAGCCGTTCTCGTCCAGCGTAAATTTGTAATTCCTCGGCTGTTTGGCCGCTCGCACCTCGTACTTGGGCAGCAGCCTAGACGCACTCTCACCTATGTGATGTGACTCGAAGGGCTCTGTTATATCGGTGCCTTTGGTGCGCTCGATCCAGAAGGCGCCACCAGGATGTCTTTTAGCGAAGTCTGTCAAATCGTAGAGCTTATCTCTGATGCGCCAGAGACCCTCGGATTCGTCATCTTGACTTTTCCCCTCTAGCCAGCTGCAAAGCGAAATAATTTGTTAATCATCCTTATTGAAATGCCGTTCATCTCACACCATACCTCTCATGGCTGATAAAGAGTTTCCTGCGATAACTGGGATACTTTCTCGATATACCCGATATGCGCCAAGCTTCCAACTCTTGTTTTGGCGTCATTATCACAATATTATTATATGTTTTCTTCCCCAAAACATATAGTATATAATACAAATGATTATCAAACCACAAGCTAACACACCGCTAATCGCTATGAATTTATTAATTCAATGTTCAAGTCCAAGTCCAAATTATGAAGTTTAAACCGGTCGACGCTCGGGTGCTCTCTGAAGCCGGCCCTATTGCCTTGTTTTCGCGTTGCTTACTGATCTTGTTTGTGGAGCATGTCATCGCTTTTTGTTTCGATCAATTAAAAAAGCACAGCACCATGACGTCACAATTTGATTAAACAAAGCTTTTTATGTCTGCTCTTCATTCTCATTCAGAGCTCGCGCCTGCCGAAGCGTGCTTATCAAGAAGCAATGAGAAGTTCGTGAGCAATTTGACAACTAATTGAGCTTTGTGGGTGCGAAAGTTTTGTTGTTATTGCTGATGTCTTGTTGAGATTGGACAGACGGGCCCCTAATACTGTTTTAATGGCGCCTCCAAGTTTAATGGCAATATTAAAACGCAATTTCTCCTTAATAAAAAACAGCAAATTTTGAACAGTTCTTAATTTTTGTTTTGTCTGAACTGTGAAATGGCAACACAGTTCTAAAAAACTATAATTATCTGTCTATATAAGCAGTAGAAATTAAAAAATGAATTTGCCAAATGAGCATGACTCTTGTATATTTTGTACCCGCCCTCTCAATAAAATAAACTGACTGCGCTGATTTTCTTTAACCTTCAGATTATAGGAAATATATTTATTAGACTGCATTTTTTCCAATCATATCTTTGACAGCCATTATTTGTAAAATTGAAATGAACTTGGAATATAAAAACACACTTTACAAAACATATAAAAATCAAATGCGGTTAAAAATATATTTTAAAAAAAAAAACACAAAAGGTATTTAACAAATATTGATTTTTACAACGATTGGCCGTATTGAAATTATGTTATATTATAAAATAATGATATAATGGCTATATTTGCTTGGCAATAAACTTCCTCAAGTTTGCAGTCCCTATCTGTTATAAGTGGTTCATAAGTTATCTCTATGTATGCCGATTTGTTTCGTCATGCTGATCGTTTAAAAATTTGTTTATAAAATGGTGACTGCCACGCCTTCTTCTGCCTGTTACCTAAGTTTGGCTGAAAACGCAAATACTTATACATAGCTCTATAAAAAAATGTCAAATCATGCTTTACTGGCAATTCTTCAGTGTCTTTACTATCGCTTTATGTACTATATATGTACGTATGTTTTTCATTCACGTTTCAGTCCCGTGCATACAAATACATACATAGATATGTACATAAGCACGACAGCCCACCCAAGCTATTTGTTTGACAGCTGATCAACGAAACCGTTATCAGTCGAAATGCTACTTGTGTAGCGTTGTTGGCAGCAACAGACAGCTTGTTCCCATCAGTAGACATTAGAAATATTGGAAGCATTCGCACTAGTTCTATTTTCTGAAACTGGTTTCCCTTCAATTTTCAATTTTTCGAACAAGTTATCTTCAAAGCACACAACAGAACTTAGCTCTTAAAGGGCTAGCAAGCTCGCACGTGTTTGTTGAAATCCAATAATCAGTATATAATAATATTTAGCCTGAGCAAGAAGTATTTATTATCTAAATAAGTAAATAGCAGGAATTTTATTGCGTATCAATCAATTCGGAAGTCAGTTCCGCACTTAGTTCTCTTGACTGTTGGGTTCTAAAACAGAGGCACATACACACACAATCACATAGGTCTGGGATTTCTACATCAAACGCGTTTTATTATTAAGGCGGCCGCTGTAACATTAGTTCGGGCTGATATGTATGTATGTATGCTTATCAACATGGAAAAATTTTTCTATTTATGTATTTCTATACTTTTTTATATAAGACTGGTATTGGTTTTGCTGACATTTTAAAACACAGCGCATACGCAAATTTGTATTCAGTACTCCGCGAGCTCAGTGAAGGTTCGGTTCTAGTTAAAAAATATTTCAAAAAAAAAAAATAGCCACAAAATGGTTATTGAAACGTGGAAGAAATCTGGAATAGCAACCAAATTTCCCACCTATCGCAACTCCTCGCTGGTAACAGTGCACACTTGGCAGCAAGGAAAACGGCAGGATGATGAAGCCGAGGGCTTGTGGCGCATACACGATGGCATCTATGACTTTACGGAATTCATAGACAAGCATCCTGGTGGTCCTTTTTGGATACGGGAAACAAAGGGCACGGACATAACCGAAGCGTTTGAGGCACATCATTTAACCAAAGCACCTCAATCCATGATTGCGAAATATAAGGTGCGCGATGCAGCCAAACCACGAATCTACACACTGACCCTCGAAGAGGATGGTTTCTATAAGACTCTAAAGGAGCGCGTACGTCAAAAGCTAAAGACAATTGACAACAGCCCTAAGCGCACAAGCGATGTAAGTCCGACTCCACTCTGTAAATTAAGAGATTATAAATATATTTTTATATTGCAGCTCATTCACCTGAGCATATTTCTGTCCATCTACATATTTGCCATTGCGAGTGTCAAGCTCAACAGCCTAGTTGCCCTAGTCCTGGCGGGCGTGGCCATCTGCTGGACAGTTATAATTTCTCACAACTATTTCCATCGCAAGGACAATTGGCGCATGTACACCTTCAACATGGGTATGATGAACTTCTGTGCTTGGCGCATTTCTCACGCCATGTCGCATCATATCTACCCCAACTCGTACTTCGATCTGGAGCTGTCCATGTTTGAGCCTCTTCTGTGCTGGATCCCCAATCCTCATTTAAAGAGTAAAATGCTGCGTTACGTTTCCTGGGTGACGGAACCCATTGCCTATTTCATTGCTTTCTTCTTGCAAATAGGCACGCGGTAAGTAACCAAAAAAGGACCCTAAAAAGTGTAGAATCCTTAAAAATCAAAACATTCAGTCACTCCTGTTCCCAGTTACGATTTAATAGGTAGCAACATAATTGATTAATTTTCAAAGGCAATATAATCTAGTCACACAGTTCTTTCTTTTTACTAAATTATCTGTCCATAAATTTCTTTAAATGCCGATTAAAAACTTATTACAAGATATAAACGATAACGTTTTAAACGATTTAAAGTTTTATATAATGTTAACCGTCTATTAATCCTTAAAAATCGAAACAGCCAATCACTCTTGTGTCCAGTTACAATTTAATATAGAGCAACAGCATTGCTTAATTTTCATAGGCAATATAATCTAATCACACATTCCGTTCTTACCAAATTCTATAAATTATTACAAGATATAAACGGTAATACATTTTAAGATTTTTATAATGTTAACCGTCTATTAATCCTTAAAAATCGAAACATCCCATCACTCTTGTGTCTAGTTACGATTTAATAGATAGCAACAAATTTTATTAATTTAATAGGAAAAATTACCTGTCCATACATATCTTTAACTACCGATTAATAAATTAATACATGATATGAACGGTAACACATTTAAAAATTCATATAATGTTTTCCGTCTGTTAATCCCGGCATCTTCCAGTTCATCTATCACTTTCTTACCCTTTTGAGAAATTATCAATTAATATTTTATTTAAAATTATTACAAAATATAAACGGTAACACGTGTAAAGATTTTTTCTTATCTTGTCTGTCTATTAATCGGCATTTTCCAATTAATCTATCAATTTCGTACCCTTTTGACAAATTGTCGATCAACATTTTATTCAAAACGCCTGGTAAATAAACCTTTCTTTAATCCTTAATGCCTTTTATATAGTTTTCAATCTTTTAAGTTATGAATCAATCGAAATGTGTGATATTATATTCGAGTATACCATGTGCTTATAAAAATTGATTCAAGTCTATCTATCAATTAAAATGTTATATGACTATGTTAATCAGTCATTGAATTACGCATTCATCAATCTTTGTATAGATTGTATAGACATGTACTATGTTATTATTTTATTATAAACTTGTTGAGTATATGTGTTTCAACCTTAACCCTTTATTTTGCACTCCACAGCATTTTCTATTCGCTGCGTCACACGAACATCATGTACTGGCATGATCTGTTGTCACTCTCCATACCGCTAGCCATGTATCTGGTGGCGGGCAGATCGGCCGGTCTACTGCTCTGTGTTCGCTATTGGCTAAGCATGACGTCGATCGCTAGCTTTGCTTTTTGCCTTATCGGATTAAATGCGGCCCATCATGACCCCGAAATCTATCATGAAGGTGATGCAAACCGTGAGGATCGGGACTGGGGTCTATTTCAAGTCGACACCATTATCGATCGCGGCGATTTGAAATGGTCACAATTTCTGGTTCTCACACACTTTGGCGATCACATTCTCCACCATTTGTTTCCCACGCTGGATCACGGCATATTGCCCCAACTCTATCCCATTCTATATGAGACTCTGGATGAGTTTAAGGCCCAGATGCGCGAGTGTAATCATATCGAGCATATTATAGGACAACACAAGCAGCTGCTACGTACTGAACCCAATACTAGAGCTCCTGGATCGGGCAAATAGGCGTATGTGGCGTATACGTATTATTTGTAAGCTAATTTTTCAATTCGTCTAAAAATATAGGCGTACACCGATGGAGATTTTTTAAAATTGATTTACATTTATTTTGTTCCTTTTTTGTATACTTTTTAGTTTTAGTGTTCATTTATCTTAGTTTTTTCGATAAAATAAAAAATTTAACATAAACATAAGCGCCATGTGATGCGAGTGTGTATGCATTTTGTATAATTGCATGTTCTGTCTGTGCATGTGTGTGTGTCGTCTTGTATGTATAGTATGTTTGTATGTGGGGATGCAAGTCGTTTATGCGTATACAATAATTAAAATATATAAAGACACATTGTATATGATTATTTTTTAGGTTAAATATTCAACTGCGACATTTCCTGGTGGACACTCTTTTTTAGCCTTGTTTACATTTTGACGGGGCTCATTTGCTTGATTTTCATTTCATTTGTTGTTTGTTTTTTTTTTTTTTGTTGATTTTCTGTGTGTGTTGGTTGAATGCATTTTGAAAGTTGTATAAAAATATAAATACAAATACAGGTTTCAAAAAATGTCCCAAAGCAAATGTCGCGCTTACAAGCTGCTACCAACTGCTTCACAAAGTACTTATGTATGTTGCAAGAGATGTTCTTGATTTGTTCTTGTTGTTGTTGTTATATTGGGCAATTTTTTTTTTTAACTCCATAGTGCCCGATGTTTTTGTTGCTTTCATATTGCCTAAGTGCATTTTTCCTCCCGTCGTTCGATATATTTTGTTTTAGTTTTATTATTTGTTTAAATTAAAACAGAAAGTTTTAAAATAGTTTAAAATTAAAGTAAAATCATAAACATAATAATTATGAAATATCATTTAAAATAAATTAAAAAATGAAATGGCATTTAGAATTCGTTTTCAGGAGCAAGGTCGAATCTTGGTGGGAAAGCCAAACCGTCGAACTGTGGCCTAACGGACGTCGCACGGGGCTGCATGGAAAACAAAGAAAAAAAGAGAAAAGAAATACAATTAAAATATTGTTAAACAATTGTAAAATATTCAGTAGCGAACACATGCATGGGGTTGAAGGGCACTTAAATAAATAGTTTGACTGACTAAGTAGCTAGTGAACGAGGAGATTTGTGCGCATGTATCACGTTTACATGGTCTTGGGAGGGGTGGTTGGCAAGGGGTAGAATTTACAAAAACAAAATAATATCAAATGCTCGTTTGTTCTGTTCGGAGCAACAACGTTCAGTGTTGGGGCAATGAGTGGTGTTGAAAACGTAATATAAACGAGAGCACGAAACTAACGAACGAAACAGATGAGAGACAGAGAGAGAGAGAGAGAGTGAGCGTGAGAGAGAGATGGTGAGAGAGCGAACAAATGGCGCACGCTTGTGCTTGTGCGTACGTAACGATTCGATAACGATATTGTCTGACTGTACGAGTATGCGTATTTTTTTTATGAACGGGAATATCTGTTGTGGTGTGCGGCGTGTGGGAATATTTTCTAACGCATCGAGATCATACTTTTTGTGTTCATGACAAGAGACCAAGACACAACAATACAACGTTTTTGACGCACACGTTACACGTTACACGTGACGAGCATCACGTGCACCACTTACAAATGTTTCAAGAAAGTTTTTACTGCTCCAGCGCACTCTTGCGGCCACCTTTCGATGCTGTCGGCTGCAGTACACATGTACAAATACATATTTAATAATAATAGTAGAAGCATAGAATAGCATTTAATATTTGATATATTTTTTTTGTTTTGTTTTTATGCAGAATGGTTGTAGAGAAAGCAAAGTCGATTGATTGCTTGCTGCTGTTCTTCACATAAAAAATTCAAAAAATGAACGCATTTTTGGTTGGTACGAGGTATCGGTATCGAGGTATCGATGATTGGTGCACATTGTCTTGCTCGTTGGGCGGCAAGAGTATCGTGTAAGCGATTTCTCACTCTCATGTGCGCGTGTTCTTTTATGCAATTATACAATTCTCTGTTCTACTGAATGTCGAATGATGCATCTATATTATTATTATTGTATAATAATTCTTATAAGCTATAATTCTCTTTGCATTTTGTTCTCTCAGTATTATAATGGATCGCTATATAGATTTACTTTTTAATTATTATTTTTTATTTGATTTTCTTTTTTATTTGGTTGTGCCACAATTTTAGATCTGTTGTTTTTGGTGGTGCAGTGTGTAGAAGCAAGACGCGACGCGCAATTCATATGAAAGGGAGAGATATATATAAAATATTCGCATTATTATAACTATTCACAAAAAACAAAAAAAAAAAACGCATGAGAATTGGTATCGTTCTAAAAAAAGCAAAATGATTGCTTTATGTATGCGGCATGATAAACGAATTCGATCACTGAAAAGGGCTTAGGGAGAATGGATTCAACTTACCGCTGGGCTGGCACCACGACCGACGGAACCGGCACGTCCCTTGGCGCGGAATTTGCTAATGGCCTGCTCTGCCAAATCGGCACGCTCCTCAGCTTCCTCGAGCTCCTGCTGGGCCTTGCGGAATTTAGCCAAGTTGAGGGCAGCGATTTCTTCGGCCTCTTCGATTTGCCTCTTGTATGTCTTGATCTTCTGTTGCAGCTTGTCAACCAAGTCTTGCATGCGTTCGTGGTTCTTGCGGTCCTCCTCAGACTGGAAGCTCAACTCCTTGATGCGACGCTCAGACTTGCGCAAGTTCTTCTGGGCATCAGCGTGTCTTCTCTGCTCACCATCCAATTCGTTCTCCAATTCGCGCACGCGCTGCTCCAATTTCTGGATAGCCTTCTTGCCACCCTTAAGGGCATTGGCCTCGGCCTCATCCAAACGCACTTGCAATTCCTTGATTTGCTGTTCAAGTGCCTTCCTCAATTTCTCCTGGGTCTGAGCATGGTCCTGTTCGGCACGGAGCTCATCAGCCAGGCGGGCGGCATCAACCATAGCCTTCTTGGCCTTCTCCTCGGAGTTCTTGGCCTCGTTCAAGAGTTCGTCCAAGTCAGAGTGCAGGGTCTGCAACTCAGACTCCAACTTCCTCTTGGCAGCGGAGATGGAAGCGTTCTGGGCGGAAACTTCATTGAGCTGTTCATGGGCATCGGCCAATTCTTGCTCGGCTTGGCGACGTCCACGATCGGCTTGCTCAAGCAGAGTACGGGACTCCTCGAGTTCGTTCTGCAGAGCGTTGGCACGACGTTCGGAGATACCCAACTGTTCACGGGCATCATCGCGAGCTCTCTGTTCTTCCTCAAGGGCAGTCTGGATGTCCTTGAGCTGTTGTTGGTAGCGCTTGATGTTCTTCTGGGCCTCGGCGTTAGCCTAAAGTGAAAGGTAGAGATAAGTGAAAGAATATTTATTATTTTGCTCCATAACCAAATGTACTGTGTACGCACCTTGTTGGCATGATCCAGAGCAATTTCCAATTCGTTAATGTCAGCTTCCAACTTCTTCTTCATGCGGAGCGCCTCAGCCTTACCCTTGGCTTCGGCTTCGAGGGAGGCTTGCATGGAGTCGAGAGCGCGTTGGTGATTCTTGCGGGTGTTCTCGAATTCCTCTTCCTTCTCCTGGATGCGGCGGTCGATTTCCTGGCGCACCTGCGACAGCTCCAACTGAGCGCGCAGTACCTTGTTCTCCTCCTGTTCCAGAGCAGCTTCGGCTTCCTCAAGAGCAGCCTGGAGCTCGTCCTTTTCGGCTTCCAAGCGCTTGCGGGCCTTCTCGATTTCATGGATGTTGCGGCCACCCTCACCGATCTGGTCGAGCAGATCCTTGACTTCATCAGCCAAGTTCTTGTTTTCACGACGCACAGCCTCCAACTGTTCCTGGCCTTCTTCGTAGGCACCCTTGAGACGGAACAATTCAGTGGAGTAGTTGCGGCACTCCTTCTGGGAGGCATCCAACTCAGCGGCCAAATCGTCGACCTTGAGCTTCCATTCGCCAATGATCTTGTCGAAGGCCTTCTGTTTCTTCTCGGCGGCGTTGGCAATGGCGTTGGCACGGTCGACCTCCAGTTGCAAGTCCTCGACTTCGGTGGACAGGCGCTGCTTGGTCTTCTCGAGGCCAATGCACTTCTGGTTGAGCGACTCGATGGTCTCCTCGGCCTCGGCCAAGCGAGCTTGCAGCTTCCTCTTGGCTTCCTCCAACTCCTCGGAGCGGGCAACACCATCGGACTCGTACTTGCTACGCCAGACCTGGGCTTCGGCGTTGGCCTTGCTCAATTGACGCTGCAAGTCAGCCTTACCCTCAGCCTCCTCCTCAACCTGCTCGCGCAAGTTGTCGAGGTCGTGCTCCAAGTTGCGGAACTTGCCCAAAAGGGTGGCACGTTCGCGGGACTCTTCGTCGGCCAGACGCTTGGTATCCTCCAACTGGGTGGTGAGGGAGATCTTGATCTTGGACAGCTGCGACACCTGGGATTCGGCTTCCTCCAATTGACGCAACAAGTCGGAGTTCTCGATGGACAACTTCTTCTTGGAAGCATCGAAGTCATTGAGGGTCCTGTTGGTCTCATCCAATTTGGACTGGACTTCGTTGAGGGTGTGTTGCAATTGCTTGGCAATCTTCTCCTGGGCGGCCTATAGAACGTGACAAATATTCGGCATTAGTCTTGATTTTAAGGAATTGGTGCATTTGGCATGTGTGGCATTTTGGGTTTGTGTAAACGCTGTACAGTATTAGATTGAGGCACATTAAAAGCAGGCATATTATTTACTCTAATGGGTCATTTTAGTAAATTGTGGTAAGAGGGGGTCTAAGGGCACGTTTCATTTCTACGAAATCAAATATACAAGATTTTGTTGCTCAAATAGAGACTAAAACTTTCAGCATTTAATTTACAGCAGCATACGCAGACGGAGTATAACAATTTGTATACCTTCTCGTTGGTAATGTGGTCGACACCAGCGCGCAGATCGTTCAACTGGCCGTAGTATTCGTTCTTCTCCTTCTCAGCCCTAGTTTAGACAATATAGAGAGAGTAGAAATGTATACATGTGGGGTTAGTGTTAGGTTACTGTCTGTTTTGGGATACAATATAGAGAGAGCAAGAGAAGCTTTGCGGGGCGCGCGTCGACGTTGCTGTCCATATCACGATCACTGGCGAATTTCGTTGGGGTACACACAAAAAAAAAACCATTACATATGTTATGGGGACCATAAGAAGAGCAGTTTGAGTTTGAGTTGTGTAATAGAGATATAGGCACA